AGCTCACTATACGTCCCCACCGAGGGGCTCGGAGCCTACCCTAATATGGGGTGACTAGGCCATAGTCAACCACGCTGGCCAAGTGCGGGTGGTATATGATGGTATAATGACAGTGCTCACTTATAATAAAGCCATTTAATAATTTCACGAAAAAAAAAACCTGGAAAATAATGAAAACGATAATGATTTAACATTGATATATTAAATAAACTATACCACATAAATAGAAGAGCCACATCACATCAAAAATAAACTTGATAAAAATAGAAAACCTACTTAAAAAGAAATGTGTAAAAACTGGATACCTAATATAAATATCACAATTTGATGTTAATTGCTCTATTTAATTCTAACGTACATACTGTTAATTAACAGTACAATGATCTAGAATCTCTTAACATGTATTTGTACTAGGACTCGACTATTTTTAATAAATCTCCCAACTTTGGTAGTACGACATCGGGCAATGGCGCTATTTGCTCTTTGCGAATCTTCTCCAAATCCTTCGTTGAAGTTACACCGGTCAACACAAGGAGAGTTTGGAAGCCGCAGCGAACACCAAATTCTATATCTGTATTACATCTGAAACAAATGTATGTAATTTTAGTATAATCCCTTGGAAAAATTATTTTATTTACTGTACCAAATACATGTATTAACTGACTCTACTAGCTATATACGTATTGCATTATTACTAGTTTTTTTTTATAATATAAGGTGGCAAATGAGCAAGCGGCCACCTGAATCCACCAAAGTGGACAGCGACAGCTGCCCATAAACATCCACAATTGCAGATGCGTTGTCTACCTTTGATTGACCGATGAGATGCACATAAAGGGGACATTTCCCCTTCATATGCGTATGCATCCCAATGTCAATTCCACTTTTCATTTCCATCCTTTTTTCTTAAGAAAAGGGTGGAAAGGAAAAGGGACTAAAATTAGGTATCACTGCTGAATTTTAAAAAACTTAGTAAGTTGCCTTTGTGTTCTTCCAGATTATGTTTTAGATCTATGCTAAATCTCATCTGGACCCACTGATGTGTTTTGTAGATTCTTCTAACAAACATCCATCCTTCTATATCCTCTTATTTATAATATTAGTATAGCTATTTGGTTATTGGTTTTTAAAATATTTTATAAAAGTATGAATATGTTGTAGCATGTACCTGTCGCCAATCATCAAAGTCCTTGCTGGATTCAAACCGCAAGATTCTAGATATTTTCTTATATACTCATTAGGTTTACCGAGCACCAATGCTTTTCTCTCCGAACATGTTTCCACCGCTCTGACCAATGTACCTGAGCCAGGGACAATTATTGAACTGGATTTTGGAAACCGTTCATCAGTATTTGTGGCAACAAACAAGCAATCTTCAGAAGCCAGATATGAGGCAGCCTTCATAAATTTCGGATAGCTGACATGTTCATCAAATCCCACAACAACCGCACCAACTTCAGAATCCAGATCAGTGGGCTTCAGTGACTTGAAATCAGGTTTGACATGGTCTGGCTGAAAACATACATTTAAATAAAAATATATAAATTGGGCTATATTTATCCAATAAGAATTTTAAAAATAGGAAAAAAACCAGTATTTTGATTTAATATATCATGTAAATTAGAAATAAATTAAACTATGTGAAGCACCTATACATAAGGATTTTTAATTCAAACATAAAATGTTACCATTCCTTTATCTACTTACTCCAACTCCAACATGCTTTATGCCCACAGCATTCAACTCATCTCCAATCCCATTTGATCCAATCAAGTAAACTTTCTTCTTAAATCCAATACTTTTGAGGTAGTGCGCAACCAAGTATGATGTAGACAAAATTTCTTTCTGTAATTACAGAAAATATTCATATATAACATTACATATTTACTTTAAAAATTACTTTTACCGTTCAATATTAATTATAACAATTACAATCAAAATACCTCATCAGCAATGAAACCCAACTGTTGGGCTTTGAGTGCGAAGTCACTACGAATCTTCGTAGAATTATTGGTTACGAAAAATACTCGTTTTCCGATCTTCCGAAAGTAATTCATGGTATCTGCAGATCCGGGAATAGCGTTATTGTCGATCCATAATACTCCTGAAACGAGATTAATTTTAAATACAAACTAATGACACTCTAATTTCAGGTTTGTTTCATTTATTATTACCCATCTTTTTCTTACCATCACAATCACTAAGTACAGTGTCAAAAGAATTGAGAAACTCCTTAACCTGTTCTTTTTCTGCATGTTCCAAATCAAATACTGCGGACTTGAACATTGTGGTGCAAATGTTGATACTCCGAGATACTGATGTAACTTTTAAATGAAAAGGTAATCTATTACAAAAAATACGACTTCTTATCAGTTTAGTTAGCACACCACACATTACTTAACTAAAATATTTTTTGTACAACCTAACATTTATTTATAAAACAGTTTCTGTTTCTTCATCTACCATCTACGAAAAATTTAATTTTGATTTTATAATTTAGGCACATTCCGTCACCTTCAAGCCTTCAACTTTAATGTCATGATTGTCAATGTCAAATTGTAATGTCAGTGTACGGATATCTATGGTTTTCTATGAGTATTTTTACAAGAGCAGCAAGTACAAGTACCCAAAACAATCAATGACAGGTGCACGGCTGTGCACAACACTATGAGACTGCTATCATAATAGTTGTTTACATGTATTAGATAGGTCACTAACTAACACTGCATATTTACACTTAATTTCCTATGGTAAGTTTCATTTTATAATTCTCTCAAAAGGTTATGAGCTAAGCTTATAAGTTATAATTATTTATTATCAAACTAATAACTGTAGTCTACAGAAAAAATGCTGTGCTATGTTACTTTTTAAAGATTAAAGTCCATTCTTAATTAATGATAAGTAAATAAGTTATTATATAAATAAATTACATTCTAATTATATTTAACGTAGTGGCGGTATATGTTCCTTCAATCCATGTTAACAATTTATTTAGATATATTTACAATGGCTAGATAAACAGGTTTTTTGGGATCAAAGTTTAGAATAAAACGCTAATAACGCGCTAAACCAACTATGTTTCTTTGATTGTGTGATTTTTTTTACATATAATGTACGTATTTTACTATTCGTTTTTGCACAACTATTGCTTATTGTACCTAACTTAATATTGTTTGTGTGTCTTAATATGTAAAAACACTTCGTTTCTCTAATTTACAGAACAACTAATGTCTTGAAAATACTAGATAAAAAAATGGATGATAGCAATACTATTGTGGAAACCAATAAAGACACTATTAAAGTATTAAGGTTTAACAAACCACGGAAGAAAAATGCAATCGACGGTAATATGTACGGTCGGGTGGCAAAAATACTGAACGAAGCAGCGATGGATGACAGTGTCAGCATGGTCGTGGTAACCGGAACAGCGGACTTTTACAGCAGCGGCAATGACGTATCCAACTCTTGGAGTGAATCTGAAGATGTCCATATTAAACTTTTAAAGGATTTTATCGAAGCGTTTATAAAATTTCCCAAGTTACTAATAGCTATTGTAAATGGACCTGCTATAGGAATCGCGGCTACAACCTTGGCCCTCTGTGATTTGGTATTTGCGTCAGAAAATGTAACTTATTTTCATTAATAAATACCAAAGCAAAAGTATGATAATTATTCACAATACAGACAGATATTACAATGAATATTTTTTGCAGGCTTATTTTTACACACCTTTTCCAAAATTACATATAACTGCTGAAGGAGGTTCTACACTAACATTCCAGAGACTTATTGGACAACGAAAGGTAAGGTTTGTTAGACTATTTTTGTTACCCTCTGCTACTGCCAATAACTCCATAACATTATGTTCTTTGTTTCAGGCTGCAGAAATGTTACTGTTTAACCATAAAATGTCAGCCAAGGAAGCTCTGGAGGTCGGTTTCATCAATCGTGTGTACAAGCACGATGAATTAGAAGCGAAATCGTGGGAGAAGATAAACGAGATTTTAAAACTACCCGCAAGTTCTATACTTGCCACTAAAAACTTGCTACGCAGAGTTTACTACGATGATCTCTTGAAAACCAATGATATTGAAATTGAAGTACTAAAAAAATCGCTCAAAGCTAAGAGTAATTTGTAAATAACATTTTTGAAGATTACTTGTTGTCATTCTGTTGTTATACTTTGTAAGATATTTTTATAATATTGTGAAGGGAAGTAATAAAGCTTTTTTAGAAATAACATGAAAAACATTTATTTAATTTTAAAAAACGTGTTCGTAATCTAGACAGTCGCGACATAGGTAGTCGATTCTAAACGACTATTCATAATTCAACTAGATATAAAACAATGCATAATAGGAGATCTTCAAGTTTCTCATCCATTACGGAGCTGTTCCGGCCGAACAATCCTAGGAGACTGCGGTCAAGAGATCTCAGTAGCACTCGTCTTAATGCGCTTAAAAAGGAGATAGAGACTAACACACATCTTATTCCACTCAGTTAGTATTCGCATAATATTGTCTTCATATAAAAAAAACATACTAGAATAGCTTTTTCATATTGTCTAATCTCACGAAAGTTTCATGTATATTTTTCATCCAACCCAAGGTTCATTATTATACGTTACTAGCTGTTCCCGTGCGGCTTCATCCGCATCAAATTATAAAAAATTATTTTATTGTTTACAACTGTCAAATTCTCAATTGCAAATGTCAAAATACACCTTAGTATGGCAATCTTGCTCCTTGATGTTGGCAGCAACTTATGGTCTCTTTCCCACATTAGAGTTTTAATCCAAAATATTTACCCCATAAGTTTAATATCGTGAAAATATATAGCCTAAAGCGTGACGTAAGTGTAGGACTTATTATTAAAAAAAGAATTATACAAAAATATGTTGTAATTGCTGACATCTTAGGCAACAAAGAAGTGTGTTATTACGCTTTATTATATTAGTATAGAAGTATAGATAGGGTAATTGCTGACGATGATGGTATATTTTTATGATATAAATTACTAATAAATAATAGCTGTAAACAAATAATTAATAAAATAATCAGATTTACGAATGAAACTATTATTTCATGCAAAAATTCCGTAGAAGACCTATACACTCGATTAGGAACGGACCCAGTGAAAGGTCTGACAAGTGATGCTGCCGCCGAACTGTTGGAGTATTACGGCCCTAACACTTTGACTCCTACCTCGCACTTCCAATGGCCGAAGATGTTACTAAAATGCCTGTTTACTGGTAAAATCATTAAACTTTATAATGTGTGAAATTCTACACCATGAAAACTTTGAAACCCTAGCTTAAAATTTATCTTCAATAACAACATAATTTTGTCAAAAGGTTTTTCAATATTAATTTGGTTCGGTGCAATACTTTGTCTGTTATCGTACGTGATTGAATCATCGATGAAGGCACATCCAAGCACTGATAATTTGTATTTGGGCTGCGTGCTCATAGCGGTCGACATTATCTGTGGTCTCTTCAGCTTCTTCCAAAACTTTAAAAGTTCAAAGGTGAGTTCAATTGAGAAAACCTTACGATATAACGGATAAAAGTATCGAGACTTCGTTTGTCACGTATCCTTTACCTAATTTACGTCGTCCTTACGACCTTAGCCTACAGGCCCCATGCATTTTCCATATGAAATATCATAGTAATTACCTTTTTAGATATTAAAAACATTTAACAACATGATACCGATGTCAGCGAAATGCATGCGAGATGGAGTGTGGAACGCTGAGATGCCGGTAGCCAAGCTGGTCAAAGGTGACATCGTGCACGTGAAGGCCGGTGACGTCATACCTGCCGATATACGGATCATTGAAAGCAAAGGATTCAAAGTAATCTGATAAAAAAATAACCATCAATCGTCGAACTATTGATGTTGATATTAACAATATCGCTCTAATTCAGGTGGACAATTCATCGTTGACTGGGGAAAGCAGAGCTGTTACTCGTTCCAACACAGAAGGGACCACAAATATATTAGAATCACAAAATGTGGCCTTCTTTTCAGCCCAATGTGTCGAAGGATGGGCTTTTGGTAAAATTTTATTAGCACTTCAACTAATTCTATAATATAAAATAGATCTGTGATAGATTGATTTGAACTCTCAGATTCCATCGCGTACCCGGCTCGAAGGGCCAACTTTATTTATACATATTCAAATCAATTCTAGGTGTTGTGCTATGCTGCGGAGACTTGACAGCGCTCGGACGAGTCGCCGGACTGGCGGCACGCTTGGAGCCCGCGCCGTCACCCCTTTGTCGAGAAATTAGTCGCTTCATGTGGTACATGTCGATCTGGGCACTCGGTCTTGGTGTTTTTATTGCCGCATCATCTTTCATTCTCGGATACCCCTTTATTCAAACTACGATATTCGTGATAGGAATTATAGTTGCCAACATTCCTGAAGGTACATAAAATTGTTTTTCATAAACATTGGTCTAGCATGAACATTTGTAAGCTGCTAGTGTAATACAAGATGTTATGTCTCACAGGATTGCAGCCAACAATAACGGCATCGTTGACGCTCACAGCCCAACGTATGGTAAAGAAGAATTGCCTCGTCAAGAATTTGGAGGCTATTGAAGCTCTAGGAGCCGTCACTATCATTTGTTCTGACAAAACTGGCACTCTGACAAAAAATAAAATGTGCGTCCGAGACATTTGGACTTGGAACCGCAAATACTCAATATTGGACCCAGATTTTAAAGGTGAATAAACAACGCATTTATACATCTTATTAACAGACAATGAAAATGAAAATAAATTCTACAATTAATTTAATCACGAATAAATGACATTTAATTTATTTTCAGATAGTTTAACGAATAACAAAGGTAAAAAATATTTTCCTAACATATTAATATTTTTATATTACTGCTATTTGTAGAAGTTTAATATTTTTGTTTTTAGCTATAGAAGCCTTAAAGACATGCGGTGCATTATGTAGCTCGGCAACTATTGATGAAAATGGGGAGATTCATGGCGATGCATCTGAAACTGCAATATTAACCTTTCTCTGCACGTACAACGACCCGGCGACATTAAGACAAAATTATCCGAAAATTGTTGAAATACCATTTAACTCTACCAATAAATATCAAGTAAGCAAGAAACTTAATATTTAGAAATCAGTTAATTTACTTTTTAATTCGCAGTACTGATTATTGTTCCCGATTGTGGGAGGAATTACATACAGTTAAAATAAACGTTTTTAAGAGTTATTAAAGAAATTAACACCTTTTCGTTATTTTCAGGTGAGCGTCCATTTCGATAAGAGCATGTCTCGATACGTGGTTGTAATGAAAGGCGCTCCTGAGTGCATATTATCGCGCTGCAATACTGTAGTTGTAGCAAATAATAATGTTTCTATAACGAACGAAATAAAGGAAGCAGCAAACAAAGCTATTGAAGATCTTGCTACGACAGGTATGGAGTATTAGGATATCTGTATTTCACAAAGGTACAGATGATAAAACGCTTGGTATTTTCAGGTGAAAGAGTTTTAGCATTTGCCGATTTGATACTGGACCCAAAAGTGTTTCCAACAAATTATGAATTCGATACGGAAGAAGTAAATTTTCCATTGGATGGTCTTCGGTTGATCGGTATTATAGGATTGAAAGATCCACCACGAGAGGAGGTATAACAGAATAAAATAATTTAGAATAATTTTATG